ATGGAAATTAAATTTATTCTATCATAGAACAAATTTTCCTACGCATGCCACTACTTCATAATAAGAGGAAAGAGTAAGGAAAATTAGTCACTAAGCATGGAGAAAACACATGGATTTTTCATTGCAAATGATATTGAAATCATACAAATATATTGAACTAATTCAAAGCAAACACAAAAAGAGTATAAGACTTATTTTTACAGGAGATGCACACCCTCCTTGCGCATCAAATAGCAATCCCTTTCACTCTCTCCAATCTCTAAAAGATAAATACAAGAAATGAAGAAATCTCTCAATTCCTCCCTTTCTATCTTCTTCCTAAGTGTCAAGTGTCACTAAGAACTCCAAAAGACACTTCCCAAACAAAGAGGCACCAAGCCCCATTCAAAAATCCATCAAAAAGGCTTAAAAAAATGTCAAATCAATTTCTGGGGCCTAGGCGCCATGTTTGGGCACCTAGGTGTCAGCCTTATAGATGCATGAAATAACTGCTTGACGCTTGGGCGTCAGCCTTCTAGAAGCATGAAATAACTGTCTGACGCCCAAGCGTCAGGTAAAAATTTTCTTCTTTGCTCCAATAAACTCCAAATTGCTCCATCTGACTCCAAATTGCTCCATTTACTCCAATTGCTTAATCTATTACACCTGTAATAAAAAACACAAAAGTACCTTCCTTTAAATTATAATATCACTAAAATAAGCATTAAATGTAGATAAAAAATAACACATTTTTAGACATGCCATGTAACCTACACATAGACCTAAACCTAAGCAAAATTTAAATATAACATAAGTCTAACCAAACTTAGAACTAACCCAAACTTTACATTAAATGTAATTTTGATATAACTAATTTAAACCTAACTCAACCCAAATCCACTTAAAACAAACTTGGTTCAGTTAGACCTAACTTGGGTTAACCCAAACTAACTTAAACTAAATCCAAGTCAACCTAACCTAACCTGAGTTTACCTAAATCAACTTAAAACAAGTCCGGGTCAACCCAAACTAACATGGGTTAAGCTAAATCAACATAAACCAATCTTGGGTCAGCTCAATATAACTTGGACTATCCCAAATCAACTTAAAACAAACCTGGGTCTACCCGACCTAACTCGAGTTAACCCAAATCAACTTAAAAAGAAAAACCTTGCTCAACCTGACTTAACTCAGGTTAACCCAAATCCTCTCAAAACAAACATGGGTTAATCCAAATCAACTTAAACAAACTCTTGGTAGCTCAACCTAACTCAGGTTAACCCAAATCAACTTAAATCAAACTTGAGTCAACTTGACCTGGCTTAACTTAAACTTGAGTAACCTAAGTTAAGGAGTGTTCCACTGCTCATAAGAGAGATAAAAGCACACTTAACACACTCCAAAAATAACGTGGGCTAAAATGCAAAATAAACATAAAATGTATGACATAAAACACACCTTAAAAATTATTAAACCTTAAACTTCAATCGTAAAACACAACTTGTTTTGAGAAGGAACTTTGAAGGAGTCAATCCATGGCTACTAAAGAAGTACCTTCCAGTCATTCGTGACTACACAAACCACTTAATTAATGAACCCGGGAGGATGGAACTATGGGATCTTGACTGGTCATTTCAACATAAAAAATAATAATAATAATAAAATTTTAGTCTGCTAAGAAATCTTAAGCAATCTAAAATTTTTAACCCCTTAAAATACAAAAATGACACTAAAAATAAATGAAACCCTAATGGACAAAGGTCAACGAACACAACTTTAACCCTGCTACCTGGATCTACAGAGATCTCTTGGAGGATGACTCATGGTTGTTGATAGGAATCTTTTGGCTGGGGTAGGCTTGATGGCCTCTCCAAACTAAGTAAATTAGGGAACCCAACAACCCTGGGACAATAGAAAACCATGAGCATCTTGACCGGACTGTTCTAAACAAAAAAATGATAAACAATCATAATAAACACATTTACGTTGGAATGAAGCATTCTGACTCTGTTTTATAGGACTGCTCAGGATAACCTACAAAATGTCATTTTAGATTTACTTTACATGTTATTAAGGTGTGCTAACCTAATTTTACAGGGCTACTTTAAATAAATGGGTTGTTGTAGTAACTTAGGATTTTTCTTTCGAGTTTTCTTTTCTTTTGTAGAGTTAGGCAGTGTTATGGTCAACTGACTATAAATATTCAAACTATCCAAAAGAAGCCAAAACATGAAGCGAATGATGAACCTCAACTAAATCATCAATGGTAGTACGAATGATGCCAATTGACAAGTCTGACATAAGTTAGGTTGGCACCCACCACCTAAGTTTTTTTGTGTTCAATCGATAGATCTGCCCAAATTATAGGCCGATATTTACATTTTTACCTTTTTTCTGGATTACCAGTTAGCTCACCTAAAGATTAAACCTTCTATCCCAACCTAAATAACTTTAACTTAATTTTTCAAAATGAAACTTAAAATCAAAACTAAACCACATGAATCAAACATTCACAACCAAAAAGCTTCATACATCTAAACAACCACGATTGACATCAAATAAAACTTAGTAGGAACTCCCCTTTAACTTAGGAATATGAATGATAACATGGTCTATAGACATACACATTGCCCATATTCCTTGTCTTCAGGCCCTTACTCATTCCACAAAAATGGGTGCTTTGATCCTTAAGAACCATTACCTTATAGATTTAATTCTTTATACACATACAAATTGGTCTTTTAAAACAAACCTTCTATGCATTCATCATCAAGGACTTAAATAACTGATTACACAACTTTCTTTGATGCACTCAACACCAATTTAAACTAAACATTTGAGTGAAGTTAGGCATAAAACATTTAAATTTAAAATTATAAAATATGTTTGTATTAGTCTTAGGACATTAGAAACACCATACATACCTAGGCAGCTTGATCAAGTCGCAAGGCCTAAAACTCCTAATAAATAACTACCTACCCTACCTTGCACATCGAGACCGAACACAAATGATTTTGAATGCAATTAGGTGGTTTAAATGGCATCCCTTTCCAAGCATGGTTGTAAGTCCATCACATTGCATGTTTTTAGGTTAAGGCTCCAGAATTTTAGTTCTATCGGTGAACTTCACCCTAAAACGTTGAGGTGGTTTGCCTAGTCACGAAGTAAATCCTTTCTTTTAGGCTCCTGCATGATTATATGTCATGTAATATAAGCCCTAACATTCTAATGAAACATTAGAATAAAACATAAAATGTTTCTTCAAATATGTCGAAAGTCGAGCACTAGGATAGTCTGGGATCTGTTATAATTAATAATAATAATAATATTATTATTATTATTACTAATATTATTATTATTATTATTATTATTATTATTATTAATCTTTTTATTATGATTATTCTATTATATTATATTTGATTATTATTATTGTCAAAACTAATAGTAACCATAATAATAACAATCATATTATTATTATTATTATATTATCAATTAAGTTATTTTTATTATCATTATCATTAATTTTATAAGGCTACTATTTTAATAATAATAATACTATTATTATTAATATAATTATTGTAACTAGTTTTATTAGTATTATTAGGAAAAAAAACTATTAGCAAAAAATTAATTTTAGTAATTAAATATTATTATGTTTTTCTGTCATTTTAAAAAAAAAAATTATTCTCACTAAATATTGTTACTATAATAATAATAATAATAATAATTTTTATTATTAATGTTTTTTAAATTTTTCAATATTTATTTTATATTTTATTTATTTACATTTAGTTACTAATTGAATAAAATACAAAGAGAAGGGAAACAAACCTCTTTGCAGAAAAAAAAATACAAAACAGATATTGATGCCTCAAATTCAGGGATGCATTCCACCGTATCTGGTTCCACCATAATTAGTGTACGCACATACGGTTATTCATATTTAATATTTTCTCCAAATTCAGAGCTCATCCAAATAAATTTTTGACTTTTGGTGTGATTTTCAGAGCAAATGGCCTCCCTTATTTGTACCCAATCGGCAACTATTTCGCGAAAAAATATTCTGTGCGGACGTCCACACGTCCAAACAACCAACAATCAAGTGTCACAGGTCCTTTGATGAAGTGTATGACGATGTAACGCTCGGTACTTTGTTGTCTGCACGTGCGGTGTCCAGACAAAATATTTTTTTCCTATTTCACACACACGAATTAAGAAATGGGCATCGAAAGGAAAAAATTTTAGGAGTAAACTGAATATTGCTTTAGCCCTAGCAAAATAATTTTTTTTTTTTAAATGCCATATTCTTGAGAATATTATTTTAATAGGCCTGCTTCAAAAAATTAATCGTAACTCTCTTATTAAATTGAATATCGTATCTCTAAAGATCATTCGTGCATAATACAGAAAGATCTATTATTGCTGCAAGATAAACCTTCTCTATGCGATGGTGTTCATCTTTATTATAGACTTTTTATTAATACTATTACGAAGCAAAAGGAAACATGGATGCATCTAATGCAACACCTACATGGCTTGACCACTGGATCATACCCTACACTAAAGCTAAGTACTATATGGGACTAATGCAAGCTACTAAAGAGTTCGGTTATGCGGATATTGCACACTTAATGCTGGTGCTACGCTATCGCCGGCAGCGGCATTTGCACACCCTGGATGTCGTGCGGCATATATGTCTCGTTGACATGCATGAAGATTCCTAATTCAAAAACCTAAAACCATTGAAGCCGCTTTCCCAAGCACGAGTCCACCGGTTCGCTAAGTTCTCGTTGTCACGAGCTATATTTTCCAGACACAAAGCAAACCCTAAACCTTCCTTCTGCCCCATTACGCTCCGATGAGCAACCGTAATGTAGCCATATACCGCCGGCAACATAGCTTCGACGTATGCTGCAACCTCATCTCTGATAAATTTCTGATCCTGGATGCCATAGAATCTGTGTAGCGCCGAGTATGCAGGTGCGTTAGTCCTGATATGCATAATCTCCGCACGCATCGCATCATACCGCCCTCTGCACCATATAAAAAGCTGGAAAGTTTGCCCACTCGCGCGAACAAGCATGTGCTAGCATTAGTCGTTGCACGGGAGGAGGTGTCGCATTAAGCCTGAGAGCAAGTGGAGCCGTAAGAAGTCCATGTCGCCCCATCACTCGAGCTATCCACAGCGTCTGCGCTAATCCGAATGGGTGGGGTCCGGTGCGTGCTATTGCCTCCTTGTGTGCCAGCATGTTATCAATGTCCACATATTGAGTCACATCCGTACGCAGAGTCTTGATATACGAGGCGCATATCCTATCCATATTAATGTCGTTAGACTTATAGGTTCTGTCCTTTGCAAGATGCAAAATGCCGAACATGGCTAGTATATTAGCGCACAATGTGTCGAGCGGACGTTGATAAGCTGCCTGAAACTGATTCACCGCCATCACACTTTCATAGCTAGGCGGAGCGAGAGAGAATCTCCATTCCATTTGCATTTCTGACGTCTTCGAGGGCAGTATGCCAATACCTATACCGAAAGCTCGCACGTAAGCTGCTAACGAATATCGTCCGACGGGCTCGTAGTTAAGTGCAGCTATACACTGTATGGAAAATGGTTGAATTTTGTTCTCCAATCGTTCAGGAGGCACGTTTTGGGTAACGGCCCATGCCGAGTCGTTCACTTGCATGTCCGGTCTATTAAGCACGCCGACATCGCGAATGTCGCAGTTAAACTGGCAGGCGGCGCTGAAAGCAGCCATGACCAAATCTTTTAGCTCCGGCTGATCCGTTTCGAATCCATCATACCAAGTTGCTAGATTCCAATCGTTGAAAATCTCGTTTCTTGCTTGGTAGGCTTTAGAATCTACGGCTTGACACACTTGTAGTTGGTTGTGAGATGGCAATATCATCTTTCGAATCTCGGCGTAGGTGAAATGTGTTGCTCTCCAGTAGCGTGCAGATAGTTGCGCGTGTGTACGAGCGCGCCCTTTCACATTTTCAACTGGTGACATACCGAGTGGAGTGGGGATGATCAGATGTTGGTCTTTGCGTAAGTATTTTACACTGGGTTTCTGCACGGGGGTTTTCCCGTTTGCATTGATCGGTGAGTGGATCGAAGGCTGGAGTAACTGGTACGACGTGTGACCATTTTGTAGACTCGCTTGAACTGGCAATATCTTTCGGTCATCTCTGTCTGGAGCCCTGGGTGAAGCATCTTGTCCATTCAAGTCGTTATCAGCAGCTAGTGGAACCGAATAATCGTTAACTGATACATCGGGTTGTGAAGTCTGGGGAGGTGCAGGCTGCTCGATAGCTTGCTGTTCATCTTGTTGTTGTTCGGCCATTATCGATGAGATACAGGGGAGGCACAGAATTGGTCAGGATATAAGAATGTAGACTTCCTCCTGGAAAAGTAAAGATTTTAGTATGAAAAATGTAGATAAATACTATTTTCAATTTGTTTAAAGAGCAATCTGAAAGTTTGGAAGAAGATTTATTCGAGTTGCATCTCTGCTGCAAATCTTTGCAAGCAGCTTCTTTTGACGACTTTTAACCATTCCAGTTTGTGCGTTATTTTGAAGAATAATTAGTCGAGCCAGCCATTTTTCATGTACTCATAGCACAAGTGCTTTTAGTCCAATATTATAGCAGAACGCAGATAGTCTAGCAAGATTAATATTAGCAATAACTGTGGTTGATGCGATAGGCTTGTTGAATGACATGGAAAAAAATAAAGATGCATATGGTTGTATGTATGCAAAATTAGGATTATTCCAGTTGATATTGTGCTACTTCATTTTACAGACCCAAAAGCTGTGATTCAATTGTATCTTCATTACAGGTCTTAATATTTAGAAGTTTGAAAGTTTTTGGTTTCTCACCTCTTTAACAACATCAAGAAATAAGGACGTCTAAATGTTTTTCTATAATTGCATAATAGCATGATCATTTTGGTGATGATTGATTCAAAATTAATGTCTTGGATTTGTTCACGTTCTTTGGAAGTCATTGTTGATTTAGTCATGGGTGAGTCAACCCATTTTTACCATGTTGTTAGTGGTGAATGGTTATAAATTAATATTAGTGGTGAATGGTTAATTCAATATTTGTATGTTTCTTCTTTCCAAAAAAAAATAATTTTTTCTTTCCCTTCTAAGTTCTCTACCTTGATTTTGTAAACATAACACATAATTTTGGCCCTCTTTCATCCCAACATTCTTGGTATCAGAGTGATCATCAGTTATGCAATGATGCACATGTACTCAGTCACACAAATATGTGTTTCGATTAAGTAGCATTTGAACTTTTTAATTCTAGTTGTCCATCTCATGAGGAGTAATCTAATTCAAAATTTAATTCAAATTGTTTGATATTTTAAAATTTGTCTAAGGTTCCTAATTTGAAGGGGTGAGTGTGTTCTACTATTTGATAAATTTCCTTAAATTGGTTTGTACAGCAGTCAATGATTCTCTATGAGATTTCTTTTGAATTAGTTAATAGTTAAGGATAAAACTAAATTTTATTTTCTTATGATACATAATAAGAATTGGAATCTTATATTATAGTTAAGATCTCTTAACCTTGTAAAGATTTTCAGAATTCTTTATTCCTCTAAGAAGATTGTGCACAAACACTTCTTTGCAATATTTCTGTTCAACTAAGTATTTATTTTAGAACTCAATTATGCTTTTATTCTTTTTATAGTCCTATATTACAATAATTTTTAATGCCCTAGATGACTTCTAAGTGTAATTGAGGTTTAGAAAGTTAAAAGATCAACTTCATCTTATAGATTCTACAAATTTAACAATGAATTGACATGAATTTTACATGAACAACTCAAAGAATTAAATAACAGTTTTAGTTCAAAATCATGTGCGTAAAGTTAACATGCATTTCCATTGAAATTCAAAGAAAGTTTACATGAAAAGAGGTAAAATAGATAAAACTTGTAATACAATCTTTGCCCCAATTCACTTCCTTCTCCAATAGAGTCATCAACTTGCTTCCTTTATAAATGTCTCTCAATATAAGATCTCACGCTCACTGCCCACTTACAAGAGAAATCTTAGACTATAAATGCAGAAAATAGAATGCTTGAGACTCCCCATTGCTTACAAAAGTCTCCTCTCTTGTCCAAATTAAGCCTTGATAGAGACTAGTGGAATTCCCCAAATTGAAGTAAGTCAATGACGAGCACAAGGGCATTACTACATGACATTGTTGTGCTACTCTAATGCATGATTGTGTTGGATCCGAGCGTTGTATTTTGTTATCTTTGATTTTTGAATTGAGTTTTAAGAGGTGTTGATGGTGCATTGTTCATATTTTTGAAAAGTTAACACATCAACATATGAAATTTAAGCACATAAAATGTGTCTAGTGAACAAAATCTACAAAATGAATAATGAGAACAACACATGTCATATTACTGAGTATGAAAACAAGATTAACTACAAAGCCTAAGAAAATAAAGCACGACAACTTTTATTGGGGCATAAAAAGACAAACAATGCAAGAGGTATAGAAACTTAAACCCAAGTTAATCGGTTCTTACAATACACCATGAACATCTCCATTCAATACAAGCACTTCTAGACCCCCCCCCCCCCCCCCCCCCCCTCCCCCCCTCATATAATTACACTTAATTTCTCCTTACAACCTTTTCAAACTCTAAACAAAACATGAAAAAGAAGAAAATAGAAAAAAAAAAAGGTCTCAAGTGAACCATAGGGAGAAACCCTAGAGCCCCAAAGATTCTCTTAAACCATAAAGGCAAAGATCCAAAGGCCAAAAAGTTTCTAATTAGTCTTCATACATATTCTTATATAAATTAGGATTCAAAAACCACACAAAATTTTTCCAAGAAGCTATAAATACGGGTTTAGACAAACGCTGCTGCAATTATGCCAGATATAAAATAATTATGGTGCGGCCTCTCTTAATTATGTTGCATAGTAGGATAATTATGCCAAAACCTATTCTTTCATTTTTTTTCCAACTTTTTCTTTTAGCTTTCCAATGTGTGTTTAACACCTATAACTTATAAAATACAGAAAATATACTCTTCACAAGAATAAATTACCATACAAAAGAAATAAAATATAAAATTTACTAGAAACATTTCAAATGTTTAAGTCCTATCAATAAGTAGAATGATCACTATTACCACCATGATCTACTCATCAATCTCACCACACCATACTACTCCACCTGTAAATATATAACTATATTACTCCTCATATCTTCTTGACATAACTCCATTTTAATCTTTCTAATTGCACCATCAACAACACTACTATCTCCACCATGTTAGGTTGGTTTTTCCCTAACTTCTATTGAGTGAAGTGTAGCTAGTACAACCACATCACACACTTATATAAAGCATGATGTGGGTAAGTAAGTTTATAATCATTACTTTTCACTTCTTTTTTTATATATAATGGTAACTAAAATTTATTATTAATTTGAATCCATCAAAAAGGTAGTGCATAAGATTAGAGACATAATAAGAAGCAAATAAAATTCTCTATATTTATCGTAGAAGAAGATTCCAATAAAGGACCAAGACATGTGATTAAGTAGATTTAAGGTGCTAACTAAAAGCTATATAATTACATAATACATGATGCTCTAGTTATAATGAATCTCATTGATATGTTTTATGTTGAAATAATTTTTTTGGTGGCTACCCAAGTATTGGTAGAAGTTAACAAGAGTTTAGAGATTTAAGAAGTGCTTTTAGCTTATACAATATATTCATAAATATTTACAAGTATGGAAAAATGACTTTTTGAATTTGGCCACATACATTGCCTAGATCACTTCTGACTATGTTCCCGAATGGGACCAAGAAAGATAAAAATGGGCATCAGAATGTGGAGGCATGGGAAGTTCCCTATATATTAGACGCATAGTTTCACACATTATGCTTTGAAGAAGGTTGGTTATTTGTAGGCATCACATATTAAAAATATTGATAATCAATTTTATAAATCTTTAAATATATTTATTGAAATAAGTTCTTGAAAGAGAATCCACGATAGAAAAATTTTAAGTAGATCACACATCAGCACTAAGTGGACCAATAATAGGTTGATGTCAGGTCACGAAGAACTTAATATAAGCAAAGTATTTAATTTCAAATTATAATTCATTAGAAAAAGTATTCTATTTTAATCACTTTGTAATTCCCTGTAAGATAAGTACATGAGGTTGAAGAAGGCATAAAGCCAAATTTCAAGTAGTATAGGTACCTCAACTTGCCAATCTAAGCCCTTAGAGTTTCATATATGGAGAGAAGCCTTCGGATTCAAAAGAAAAGAAGGATATACGAATTTGGCTTGCAAGATATGGCATATGATGTGAACCATTCTTTCTCTATGGTAAGTAGTGTGTTGATAGATGATTTGGCTAGAAGGTATGTTTGACTTTGCTGAGGACATTGAGTCTCTCAAGCAAGTGCTTAAATTGAAACTTGATTAGTTACTTAAAAATAAGGATTATATTCAACAAAAAATAAGCAGGGAGAAGCAGCTGTAGTGGAAGAGCAAGAGTAAAATGTTATGGAGGATAATGAGGAGAGTGACAAATAGTAATTTATAGTTATTTTTTTATTACTATTTCATGTCTTGTTCAATTTACTTCAGAATTACACGCAACATTGTATGTTTTGGAAATAATTATAGGTAGTGTTTGTTTAGAAGATTTTTTTTATCTTTATATAAATATCTGTGTGTGTGTTTTTCTGTTCTTCCTAATATTGTTGTGCTCATTTGATGCTACATAATTTTGATGCTTCATCAAGATATAATTTTATTTTTTTTGTATAATGTAGGTGTAAAATCTGTAATCTAAAAGCAATCTTTGTATTTTTTTCTTAAACCAACAAAATTTTGGTTGGATTAGAGATAATTTCAATCCATTATGATAAAAAAATCATTTATGATTGAAATTTGGTCGCTTGACTATTCGACTAATATATAAACAAAAAATAGGCCCTCGCTGAGTTGAAGGAATATTGTTGCTAGAGGTATCGCCAGCAACTCTCTCCCGGATGGCCAACCACGGAGATCAGCTGATTGACCACCAAGGACTGACCATAGAGAGCAACCAGTTGACCACCAATAACTGGCCACCTTCAGCCGATGAATCTTAGATTGCCACAGGAAGTAATCAACGACCACTAAGGGCTTGCCAACCTTAACCGACCACAAAAACCTTTGGTCGACCACATGGGTCGACTGCCCGATCATCATCCGACGACCATATGCATCGAACATCACCTGCCGACTAGCTAAACAGGTTGACCATGGAGCATTCAATCGATCTGTTGCTTGGGCCAACCTTCACCTACATGTCGGCGATCTGGGCTAGCCACATGAAGGGCACTTAGGCTGGCCTT